CGCTAGCCTCGTCCACGTTGCTCCTGCCACCTCTACAATGTCGTCGCACCAGCGTGCCCGCGGTCGGCCGCGCGAGCGCGTCGCATCACGCGGGTACCAATGTAGCACCCGTTCAGTCCATCTCTCATCACTGACTCTTGCCACGTGTCCTGCCCCTCTCCACTTCAGGTGACACACTAATTTGACTGCGTCTATGATATTTGTTATTTTTCCTATATCACTGTTTCTATGTCGATGTCTTAGTTTAACGTTAAGCATGCTGCGTTCCGTTGCTCGTTGGAAAACTTCTAGCTTAGATATTATTTTCCGTGTGAGAGCCCAGTTTTGACATCCATATAATAAAGTCGGGAGTACAGTAGTATCCAACGCTTACTTTTTTAATTTAATTGGTATTTTTGCCTTGAAAATATGTTTTAGTGACCGATATTTGCTCCATGCTAATTTAATTCTTGTATTAACTTTCGTCATTGTTAAGTTGTGAAATGAAATATTTTGCCCAAGATAAATATATTCATTAACATATCTAATTTGTTGGTTTTGAACGTGTACAGGCATTTTTGTGCTATTTGTCAATATACAAGTTTTATCTGGATTCATTTGTAGGCCACATTTTCTGCTTTCTATGTCTAAAGACTGAACCATATATCTTCTTGATAGTCTTCGTGATTTTCGCTTAATATGATAATGTCGTCTGCAAAACGTAGATGACTCAAAATTTCTCCGTTAATATTAATGCCTCGTTTGCCCCAGTTAAGTTTTGAGAAAATGTACTCTAATAAACAAGTAAATATATTAGGTGAGATTGGGTCCCCCTTTCTCACCCCTCTCTCGATTTTTAATTGCTATCCTGGTTTCTCCGTTCTTATTGTTGCTGTAGTTTGACTATAAATTTCTTTCAGTATTCTTATATATTGGTTATGTATTCCATGAGATTTCAACGCCAACCAAAGCGAGTCGTGGTAAATAGAGTCGAAAGCTTTTGAATAATCAATAAATGCAAAGTAAAGAGTTTTGTTATGTTCTTCATATCTTTCCATTATCTGAGTCAAAACAAAGATGTGATTCATTGTAGAGAATTTGGGACGAAAACCAGCTTGTTCTCTCTGTTGCATGTAGTCTAATTTGGGTTTGATTCTGTTAAGTAATATACTTGTGAAAAGTTTATAAATTGTATGCAATAGGGATATAGGTCTATAGTTCTTGTACAATAATATGATAGTAGTTTGCCCAACCTTCTGGTATTTGACTGAGGTCGAGTATTTCGTTGAAAATATTTGTTAATATTGGTATGATGGGTTCTTTTATCGGTTTCAGAACATCATTTGAAATACTATCTTCTCCTGAACTTTTTGCACTTTTAAGTTTTTTTTATGACAAGACTTATCTCGCAAGGTACTAGTGGCGGAATACGATCGTTTATGTCCACAATACAACTATTATTTATTAATTCATCCGTTATGTTATTTTTCACGTTATGACTTTTGTATGTTTTTATAAAAATCAGTAGCTATTTTTAAAAGGTGTTCTCTATTTGTAGTTTTTCCGTTATCATTTGCTTTTAGTGAGGAAATCCACTCTGGATAAAGTGAGTCGTTTTTGTGCATTTTTTGTGGAGCCTTTATGTAATAACTCTTCTTCTAATACTTTTAAGTGGTATTCTAATTTTTTTATTAATATTTTTTTTTATTTTGAGGTAGAGTTTGGACAGTATATTTTTTTCTTCTTTAGTCTTTTTTCTTTACTTTTAAGTTTTGTTCTTTCTGTAATAAGTTCTTTTATATCTGGACAAAATTGAATTTTTTCTTTACGTATTTTTGGCAACTTTTTTATACATCCTTCTATTATATTAGTCAGGTTTCTGTAGCTTTCTTGCAAGTTTCTTTCCCTTTATTATTAGTTAATAACTCTGTAAACATCCCTTTGAGGAATTAATTTTCACTTGGTGTTAACTGTCTTTTTGGAGCACAAAATTTTTTCCTGTTCTTTTTTACTTTAGTTTTAATGTTGACGCATCCACGTACAAGTCTATGGTCTGATGGATAGTTTGTATTTATTATTTCTGGGTTTGTCATTTCTCTGCCGTATGAGGACGCTTAAGGTCGCTCAGCGAGCTATGGAGAGGGCTATGCTCGGAGTTTCTCTGCGTGATAGACTCAGAAATGAGGATATCCGCAGTAAAACCAGAGTGACCGACATAGCCCAACGGATTAGTAAGCTGAAGTGGCAATGGGCCGGCCATATAGCTCGAAGAACCGATAACCGATGGGGAAGAAAGGTTCTCGAGTGGCAGCCTCGTACCGGTAGGCGTAGTGTAGGGCGACCCCCCACTAGATGGAGTGACGACCTGGTAAGACATGCAGGAAGTCGATGGATGCAGGTGGCTCAGGACCGTGCTTTGTGGCATTACTTGGGGGAGGCCTATGTTCAGCAGTGGACTTGTGAAGGGCTGTAATGATGATGATGATGATGTCATTTCTCTTATATCTCTTGTAAGAATGAAGTCAATTTCGTTACGCGTTCTACCATTGGGTCCATCTATTCTTTGATTTTTTCTTGAAATATGTACTACTTATTTAAAATTGATTCTCTAAGCAAAACTGAATTAATAACTCATCCCGTTTGTTTCTGTCACCCAATCCCCATAGTCCCATACTACTTTTGTCTTCGGGCGTTGGTTGTCCAATTTTGGCATTAAAATCACCCATTATCATTGTAGATGTTGATGAATTTTGTAGTGCTTTTAGTATCTCTGAGTAAAAGAGTTGAATTTCACTTTCTTTAGCCTTATATGTAGGCGCATAAACTTGGATTAAAGTTAAATTTTTTTGACCAAACTTCATATCTAGACGTGCGACTCTATCAGATATACTTGTATAGTTAAATATGTTTTCTCTCCATTTTCTTTTAATAACAATTTCCGACTCCATTTATACCACTCTTTACTCCTGTGTGAATAAGTATATATTGTTCATATTCAAAAATTTTAGTCCCTTCTTTTTTTACTTCTGCTAAGCCTATAATGTCCCATTTTATATATCTAAGGGCGTGGTCTAGTTCTTCTTGGCGACCGTCTCCGACTTACATTAAAGACCTTACATTAAATGTGGCGATATGTATTTAAATATTGTTTTCGCTTTCTATTTTGACTTTATGGATGGAGGGCTTTGGTCTACTGCTCCCACGGTGACCGTATTGGGAGAGTGATTCTGAGTAGTGCATTGATTCATTGTTTTACTATGTAGTCTGGCGGAGGCCTGTACTTTTCATATATCTGTTGAGTGTTCATTCCGAGATTTTTTATTGTTATTTTTATAATAATATGATGTTATTTGGTTAAGGCTCGATCTATGTTTCTTATTATTGGGTTATAATGAAGTAAAATCAAGGGTGAGATAAATTTGTGTTCAGCGGTGAACGAATGATTATAGAAAGAAATAAAGTGAACATACTTTATTTCTTTCAGTAATCATTCTTCTGTTTAATTTACTAAATTGGTAAAACAAGGCTATTTATAATGATTACATTATTATAATATGTCATTTAGTTAATTATCATATTAAAAAATGGTATTGCTGTAAATTAGTGGTGTAAGGATATCTACAACTCCATTACATCTCGTGGGTGTCGTACTAGGCGACTGACGGATGTGAAATAAGAGTCATGAAGCAGCATCTTCCTGGTAGCAACTGAAAGTTATGGAAAACTGTGGTTGATGATTCGCCTGCCAAGTGTGGCCACTATAGCGAAATCCATACGAAGTAATGGAGTAGGCTGTTCAGCAGTGAATTTTATTGACTGTAATTGATAAATTTAGTTCAACGAAGTGCTCATTAATTTAGTGGTCAGAAATGTGATGGCTGATTGTGTAGTTCCGGGCCAAAATTAGTTCTTGGATTTTTCTGTTAAGAAATTATCACGGAGCACGGAGTGAGGAAATGGTGGTGTAGTACCAAAACACGCGCGCCTTAACTCTCTGCAGTCGCGTCAGATTGCTGTCCCATGACTGACTTTTATATTGAGGGTTATTTTTATAGAATAAGGGTGAAAGGGTGACAAACGAGCACACAGTCCACCCGATGTTAAATGGATTTTGTGGCCCATTGACATCTACATCAATATTCGATTAAGAATCAAAATGCATAGTACCTGTTGGCCTCTGTGACCAAAAATTAAATCTGGAGAACATTATTTATTATTGTTACTCCAACTGAATATTATGTCATCTTAAATTTCGACCACTGTATGCTTTTTATAGCATTGGATGACAAACGAGCATACAGCTCACCTGATAGTGAGTGGATGCTGTGGTTCACAGCTTTCACTTAGTATCCTCAAAATGCAAATGCGTTGTCACCCCTGAAGCATAAGATGGAATGCCTCGATTCCAGTAAAAAGTGGCTCCGGTTCTCTACACTCATCATACGAAAGCTACAACTGTTACGTAGCTCCAGCGTGGCTCTACCACGTAAATTATAGCTACATGCTCCTTTAATATTGACATTAGGTCTTTGTACTCGGCAATGGTAACTTTTTTGTATACGAAATGTCAAACAAACTCACAGTCCATCTGACAGTAAGTGGGTACTGGAGCCCATGAACACATGCAGCCAATTATAACCATATCGGGTACGGAATAACCAAGTTTATTCTGCAAGCTCTTGTTCTATTATTGTGCGAATTCCCGAAGGACGCGCAAGCAACTGATAACTGGCCATATACCCAGTCGAAAGGAAGACCTGGCGAAAACTAGGCAATGGTTGGCAATTCTACCTTTACTCTAGTTTGAAGGTTGGATTATATATTCGCAAATCCGCCTGAAGTACTTTCCTAGTTGCTACATCTTGATGTAGCCTAAACATATAAGTCGTGGATTCTAATCTGCCATCCGCCTATTGTCGTGGACACTTTATTATTAAAAAAATAAAAAATAAGCATACGAGAACCACAGGACTAAATAATGTATTGTCAAGTGGAAACTAAACCTCTTTTTTACTCCCTCGATGGTGAAATGTAATTCGGAAAAAGTTCGGCACATACGCCATTCGCTTATTCCGAAAGTCAATAAATGTAGAGGTAAAAACTCTTGCATATTTTTTCATATTAATCCATTTGCTTCACAAAAATAATCATAACTAAAGTTGCAGATCAATTGAACCTTTAAATGGACGCACGTGGTCTTGTAATTGACTTCTCAGCCACAACAACTTCAAAACCAAGGTGCTGTCCGGATTGACTGAGTGTTCAATTACGACTACAATGTTGCACTGTAAAGAGATATGGTAGATAGGCATCATAAATACACACCAAGCGTTGATAGTTCATGCATAAAAACGTTTATGAAGAGGCAACTTGAATATCATACGTATAATACATACATTTACATTAGTTATTTTTATATAAAGTCTGTGAGGTTTAATAGTCAGATTACCTAACGACGAGTCACAAGTGCTATACGTCGGTCGAAAACAGTCGTGGAACATCTCTGAAAATTTGGTTTTTAACTTTTTAAGAGTGTTACATTACAATTTCAGTGCCAATTCTATATCAGTATCGGAATAAGTCATACTACACATAGAAGTCGATTAAAAATAAAAGTTCCACTTCTACTCTGTGCATATAGTATTATTCAATATTGGGACACTTCGAAATGTTCCAATACGGTTCCAGTACGCTCGAGTCTCGCGCGAGTTTGTTTAGTTACGCGCTGCATGCTGCACTTGGTAGACGTATTGTCAAAAGTAATACAATCTGCAAAAATGTCCAGGCACTATTTTTATATCTAATAATAATGAAGTTGGTGAGATACAGCAATATGTTGAAGAGAATTCTTTGCCCCTGAATAAAGTACATAATCGAGGTACGTATCTATCTTCATGTATTTAAGTACATAATAGAGGTACCTACGTACCTATCTGCATATATTATTTTTGTGTTTTGGTATAGTGTGTATATTTAACTGTTTGAATTTTTTTTAAGGTGTTGAGCAGGCAATAAATATGGAAAGTTGTACAGACGATAGGTTCGTAGCCAGCCAGCATGAGCCAGCAAATGAAGCTTCTAATCTAAGCATGATTTTTCATACAATTTTAATAAACTAGCTTACTGCCCATCAACGTGTATTTCATAGTTCTAAATTATTTATGCAATAGCTTTATACGAGGTCTTTGTTTGCTTAGGTGGCGAGCTTATTGAAATTTTATGGGGAGGAGAAGATAAAGAAAATAATATACTAAATAACAGAGAGTCGTCACCATCAACCCAAGTTGACAAGAAAGAGACGCATGGAAGAAAAATAAAAAGAAATGTTTAAAAAATTCAGGTATGGCTTAACACTACTGCGAAAGGAAAATTAGTTAATGCTAAACAATTAAAACCTGGTTGTGGAGACAAATGTCGGTTGAAGAGTACACTGAAGATTAATGAGCAGCAAAGATTAGTAATATTCAATAATTAGGTGATTTGAATAGACAGCGAGATTTTGTCAAAAATGCTACGAAAGAAGTAAAGCCGAAATATTCGCTACATAATGCTCTATCTTTTTCAGTAGTTCAGTCTCTTATCATTTAACAGTAGATGGTATAATTATAAGGGTATGTAAAAAGTTCTTTATGCACACTTTGGATATTGGGCACTCATTTATAAAGACGGTATGTAAGAAAACAACATCATCGGGTATAGTTTTAGAAGACTTAAGAGGTAAGCATAACAAGAAAGGTAAACTATTACCTGACTTTGTTAAGGATAGAGTACGTGAACACATAAACTCATATCCTACTAAGGAATCGCACTACTGTCGAGCATCATCAACTAAACTATATTTTGATGGTGATTTAAATCTATGTATGATGTACAGGCAATATAAAGAGTGGTGTAATAAAGAAGGCAAGCCTGAAGCTAAACAAGGAACGTATGAAAACATTTTAGAACTGAATTTAATATAGCTTTTCATGTACCAAAGAAGGATCAGTGCTCTCTTTGCTGTTCTTACAATAATGCAACAACAGAACTGAAACAAGAAATGGAAAAGAGTTATAAAGATCATCTTACAGAAAAAGAGTTTGCAGAGAAGAGAAGAGGATAGATATAGAAACATGCAAAATTGACAAACAAAAGATTATTTGTTGTTATGACATGCAAGCGGTTCTTCAAACTCCAACGGATAATGACTCGCTATTTTTTATAAGAGACGCCTTAATGTTTATAATTAATTGTACCGTATATGACATCGTTAATAAATCTGGACATTGTTATTTATGGGACGAAACTTTGGGTGGGAAAGGATGTGACGAGGTAGGATCTTGTATTTTACAGTTTTTCAAAGAGTTTTGTCATGGAAAACATGTTATATTTTTATACCGACAATTGCTCAGCACAAAATAAGAATAAGTATTTATTTTCATTATACTATTATGCCTTAAAAATGTTGGTTGTGAAATCTATAACACATAAATATTTTGTTGTCGGGCACACTCAGAACGAGGGCGATAGCGTTCATGCCACTATTGAAAGAGAAAAATCCAGAATATTAAAAAATGGTTCCGTGTTCGTGCCATCCCAATGGAGGGCAATTATACAATGTGCTAAGAAGGAAGGTAATCCCTACCAAGTTCATGATTTAGATTATTCAGACATTTTTGATTTAAAAGAACTAATTTCACACTTTGGGAAAAATTTATAAATGCAGAAGGAGAGCGTGTAGAGTGGAATGATATCAAGAAAATATTTATGCAAGCTACTAATCCTTTCGTTATTTATTTCTGGATACTTATCAACCTGACAGTACAATGAAATGATTCAATGTTCGGCATAAAATGCGGGGCAAGCCGACGAAACATTAGTTTTGACAAATAAATATCGCACTCGTCGTGGAATATCAAATCTTGAAAAGAAAGATTTGATTTCATTATGTGATGGTAAAGTAATTCCAAGCGTTTATTGGGATTATTATAAAACATTGCCAGCTTCCTCAGATAGAGCTGACGATGACTAATTGTTCCCTTTTTTATATATTTTTACTTATAAATAAAAAAAAAATTTATAAAACTATAAAAGTGTTTTATTTATTATTCTCTAAAAATGCAATTATTTACTAAGGTTCTCTAGATTTCATTTTTATTTAGGTCATTATTTAAGAAAAATACATAGTTTTTTTTAATTCAGTACTGGTACATTCAAAAATAATCCATTATCAGAGGGATATTTGCAGTCAATAAATTAATTCAGTAGTGGAACATTTCAAATATTTACTTATACTTAAAAAACAAATAATAAAAAATGAATGAATTTAATAGAAATCATAAATGTAAAGTCTAACCAAAATATAACAACATTAAAAACAATCCTTTTTTCTCATAACACTTGCTAAATGGAAAAATAAGTATTTCTAATTTTTAATTGCTCGATATCTCAAATTTACTCATTTTGAAATGTTCCACTACTGTTTTCGACAGACGTATTTGAATGACTAAAGTACATATTTGTGCAAAAATACAAAATATTTGGGCCTCCGGTTTTAGTTAGAGAAAAATTTACGTGACATTGACACGGCCATAAATGTTGAATGATCCGTGAGTGATCTAGAATTTTTTTATAGATTAAGCGAAAATAGTTAGTGTATCATTTACGCATTTTATATACCCATAGATATCTACATCTATCCCCGGTTTTCTAAACAAAGCAGCAGCAAGCTGCTATTTTACGCTCGTATTTTATGGGAGCATGGTCCTCACCTGGTTGAGTATACTTTACTGTTAGGTGTTACATTTATGCTTATAAAAAAATTTAATTTTTTTAATATAAATAGAGTAAATGGGGCCTACACTCTATCGTGGAAGGTTAGAATGTGTCAAAAAAGGCACGTATGACTATTCACACTGCTGTGTTGGTCACTACTTTAACGTATGGTAGTGAAAGCTGGGTGTGGCAGAAGAAGCACGAGAGTAGTATAAACGCTGTGTAATGCGGTTGTTAAGGAGTATGTTAGGGCTGAATCCGAGTGACAGGATGAGAAGTTGTGTGATAAGAGAGGTGTGTGGTTTGCAAGATGATGTTGTGACCAGGATTAAGAAAGGATTGCTTCGGTGGTTTGGTCATGAGGAAAGAGTGACAAAGCAAATTTATCTTGCAGAAGTGAACGGCAGAGTCGGTAAGGGATGTGCTAGGCAAAATTTTATCGACCAAATGTGTGTGTAAACTAGGAGTACCCTTAACCGACGAGCATGTGGAGGAGGCGAGAGAGGTGTGTCAGGGTCGTGCCAAATGGAAGTCTGTAGTCTCTGCCTATCCCTCTGGGTGACAGGCGTGAGTGTTTATGTTATGTTTATGTTATAATATATTATAGTTGCCGCGTGGCTCTAAAACTTATACAGTAAAAATGAATGAAATTACATTTTACAATGTTACATGTTTAGTTTTGTCAGATACAAAGATATCGAATGTATCATTTATAATTTCCAAGAAATTGTCGCTGAGACGGTTACTTATGAACATGTTGGCCGACATAAATGCGTGAGATATATATTTAATGATTCTCCCTGTCCTGGACTTGCTACTCTTATCGATCGCATCAGGCACAGGTAGAAAAGAGTTAGTGTTTCATTGAGGCGTATACTTGTGCTGTTGTAAAAATTAAAGATTTAAATCTTTGGTAAAAATTCTACGTCTATCTCCTACGTAGAATTTACTATTAATCAATCAAATAATATCATTATCATAGCAGGGTCAGGTTGGTAGGACTTACCCTGAGCGTTAAAATTTGCAAACAGTTTTGGTTACAAATTGAAGTTTTTTTTTAATGTATAAGGGTAAATAAGGGTAACAAACGAGAACATAGTCCAGCTTAAGGTAAGTGGATGCTGTGGCGCATAGACATCTACATTTATTCTCGATTAAGAATCAAAAGATCTTTTAAGAATCTTTTTAGATGCGTTGTAACCCCTAAGGACTAATGTAGAATGCCTCGTTTCCGGTAAAAAAAGACTCCGGTTCTCATCACTCACAATACGAAACACAGCAACATGAAGCTGCTATTTTACTTTGGTATTCTGTGAGAGCGTAGTCCTAATCCATTTGTGCTACAACCATAATATAGCTATATAGCTGCAGTATGACTCTACCATGTATAAGTCGCTAGTTACAGTGCTGTTTCAAAGCAAATAATTTAAATAAGACAAAATAGTAACATTTGTTTAGGACATGTAGCGGCGCGGCGGTAGGGTTGCCAGATGGTCAGGATTCGTCTGGATTCTCCCGACATTTCAAATGATCTCCCCCCCACAGCTGGGCACAGACCTCTGTTTTTTTTTTTTTTTTTTTTTTCTATTGTTTCCTTTTGGGGGGGGGGTGTAATTAACTTTTTTTTTTTTTCTCGTGTTCTGTTATATTTACAGCGAGCGTTAACCACCTGAGCTACTACGGCTCATAAAGGTTTGAAGTACTTTTTGTAGTCTCTTAATAAAAAAAAACTTTTTATTTTTAATATTTATTTCTCCCGATAACAACCCCAAAATCCCGATCTGGCAACCTGGTTGTAATCGATGGATGGTTTTTGTTTTTAGACGAATTTGACCTGAAGTAAGAAATCAAGACGAAAAATAAGTGAGTACAAAAAGTCTTCTGTTCATTGGGGATATCGCGTATATTTTTCACTCATAAAAATGCGCGGTTTACGAGCAACCTTAGACCATCTAGTGAGGTCATTACCTGTAAAATTATTTTTCTGTGTGAGTGAGCGGAATGTTTGCATTGTTCTAAGAGAGGCTTCCGAATTTATTTATTTTCTCGTCAAGGTCATTCATTGATAACTGTTTGAATATTGTTGATACTTCTGATGGAATATTTGTTATTCATTTATATATTTTGCACAAATAAGTGACTATGCCCAAACACTCAAACGCTGCTCAATTTTACGAAGCCGTCTCGTGCTGTCTCTTCACAGTAGGTCAAAGCGACTATGACACCAGGAGTTTGGCCTTACTTCAGTCAAAATAATATTACGCTCGCAGTATGGGTCGTTGAAAAGCGATATCTATTATCTATGTACTCTACCGGCGTCTATTGCACATTATTACACGAAAATATAGGGTATCCGCTAACTTTTTTCAATAACATCGCTAAACTATCCAAAAAATCAGAACGGGTTTATGCGTAGTAGAGCCATGCTGCAGTTATATTAGTAGTAGGTACAGTTGTAG